GATTGCACACTCATTTTTTTTTCATGACGGCCTTGTGTGGAGCTCCCCGAGGCCCCTCCTTCTGCCTCCCCCCTTCTGTCAATTAAAGTTGTGCGCGGCCCGCTTTGCTTCGACCGGAAGAGGTGCGCTCTCGACCCGCAGATCACAAAAGTGTGGAGCTCCCAATGGGCTAGAGAAACGTGGCAGGGGTGATCGGAATGCGCCCTCGACTGCGTGAGTTGTTTTCCGTGTTGGCCTTCCGTGGGGCTCCCTTGGGGCTTGGAAACCGTGGCAGGGGCGAGCGAAATGAGCCCGCGACTGCATGAGGTCGTTTTTTTTGTGGAGGTCTGGTGATGCTTGAAACATGCGTCAGGGTTGAGCGACATGGACCCACGATTGTATGCGGATTATTTCATCTTGGCCTTCTGTGGAGCTCCTATGGGGGGGGTGAAAACCGCGACAGGGGCAAGCGAAAGTAACCCACGATTACATGCGGACTTTTCCATATTGGCCTTCTGTGGAGCTCCTGTGGGGCTTGAGAAAAGCGCGGCGTGGGTGCGCCAGGTCAGAGGCAGGAGGGAGGGGGAGGAGGAGGAGGAGGAGGAGGAGGACCAGGAGGAGAGGAGGAGGAGGAGAGGAAAAAGAGGAGGAGGAAAAGAAGGGGGGAGGAGGACCGGGAAGACCGGGAGAGGACGCGCGGTGCGCTGCAGTTCCAAGCGAAAGCCTTAAACCACAGCACGGTTAAGAAGAACTCTTCCTTTCCTCCTCGTCCGCCTCCTCCTCCTCTTCTCCTCCTCCTCCTCCTCCTCTTCGTCCTCCTCCGCCTCCCTCCTCCTTCTTTTCCTCCTCCCCCCTCCCTCCTCTTCTCCTCCTCCTCCTCCTCTCCTTCTCCTCTCCTCCTCCTCCTCCTCCTCCTTCTCCTCCTCCTCCTCCTCCTCCTCCTCCTCCTCCTCCTCCTCCTCCTCCTCCTCCCCCTCCCCCTCCCCCTCCCGAGGATGGCCGGTGATTCGCCCGCCTCCCATCCGCGGACTGGATTTTTTTTCAACACGGGTTTTTTCATGATTGCGAAGACCTTGCTGCCGGTGCCGCCGACCCTGAAGGGGGACGACGACGAAGACAGCGATGATAGAGAAAAGAGTCAAGAAGCTAGGGACAATATTTGATTGTGTCCTCGCGGACTTGACTTTCAACACGGGTCTTCATGATTTTGTCTTCCCTACGTGCTTTTTCAATCGGCACGTGTTCAGTGTCTCAAAAATGGTGTTGCCGTGGCAGCGCCGTTGCAGCGTTTCGCTCCCGTCGTTCAGAATGGCGCTCTTGCCCCAGCGCGGGCTAGTTTTCTGGAGCCGAGTCCTTCCTCATCGTTGCCGCCCCCCTCCTTTCATTGTCAGCGTTGCCTTGCTCCTCCCACTCCTTCCACTCCAGCTCCCGCTGCTGCTGTTCGTCCTCGCCCTTTCCCTTATCCTCCTCCTTTTCGTCCTGCTCATCCTCCTACTCACCCGCCACCTCCTCCGTCTCATCCTCCTATGTGCGTGGGTCCTTTCTCCGATTGCGCATGGCACGATGGGTTCTTCTTGGGATTCTGACACGCGTCCGCAGATGGACGGCATCAGTGGAATGGAAAGGGATGGGTGGGAAGGCTGTGATGTCAACTATGACGCGAGCGCACCCGGCTTGCCGCTTGCCAACTCTCCCCGCTCCCCTCCCCTACCCTTCCTTCCCCGCCCAACCCCTCCTGCAGCAGCCTTTCTGGGGCCCTGCGGGATGAAGCCCGTGCCGGAAGTGCTTCGGCACCGCTGTGCGGCAGGTTCGCCGTGAACGAGACGAACGCCCTCGCGACGCAGACCGTGGAGCTGTTCACGGAGGATGCCCGCCGGGCCGCTCCTCTGTGCGGTCACGACGCCCAGGAGGTCCCATGAATGAAATGCAGCGGGACCCATGCCAAGAGGCCCCCAAGACTGCCCCAAGGCGGCCCAAGAAGCCTCCAAGAGGGCCCCAAGACGGCCCAGGATGGCCCCAAGACAGCCCAAGAGGCGCCCAAGATGACCCAAGATGGGAACTGAAAAGTCCAGCCTTCAGCCCAAAGAGGCCCCTCGGAGGCCCCTACCCCAAGGAGACACACCCTGCTTGCCTCCAGCGTGTCCTGGGTTTCGATGGTTTCGTGATGGACGGCGTGACGTTCCCACACCAAAACGCCAATGGACGTCCTGGGGTCTCAGGGTTGGATTTCTTGTGGGAAGTTTCTTGTTGACTAGCCTCCACAGAAGCATGTGAATTCCCATGTGAGAGTTTCGTTTCCTCTCCAATGAAGGGTTCGTTACCCAGACCAACCCCCCCCCACCCCCACACCCGGGGTAACGCGTTGTGCCTTTAGGGCCCCGACTTTCACTTTCACTTTCACCCCGGGTAACGCTTACGATCGTACTGGGGGGGGAGCCTGGACTTCCCCTACACGCTGTGGTGCGCACAGGCAATTGATGCGCCAGTGGTGCGGACGCACCCTGACGAGTGCACACCGCGGCCGCCGTTACCGTTACCCTCCCGCCCGAACCCCCCCTCCTCCCCGGGTAACGTCCATTACCTAGGAAATGGGGAAACAAAGAAAACGGCCACCACACGTTTTCCCCGGAGAGAAAAGACAACGCTCACCACGTGGATGTTTCTCGGCGCCTGCTCGGGGCTTCTCATGTGAAGCTCGCCGCGGGGCCGCCGCAACCCGCAGACGACCCCGAGGCGAGCCTGGTCGCGGACAACAGCCAGTGTGCGCCGAGGGCGATCCAGTTGTGGCTCGGTGCGGCGACGATGCGGGTTCGACCCCCGCCGGAGATGTGTACCTCAACGCTGATCGCATATCTCAAGCAGTGGCGAAGCGTCCTGGCTCGCTAGGCCCATCAAAGAAGATTGTAATAATTGTTTGTGGTCTGCACGAACTATTATTGTAAACATTTCTGGCTAAGACTGTCTTGTTTTAGCGCAGCGGGCTTATGTTCTAGGAACACTGTTTTTGTTATCAGAGCATTTTTGGGCGCCAAGACTAGGCCTACAGGAATGCCGGGACGGTCGGTCCCTGCTCCATTATCGCAGCACGCCGAGTACGCTGCGATTGCCCAACGCTGCACAGGCCTCTTCACGCCGCCGGGTCGTTTCCCTCGATTTCTGTTCATAGGAGCCCTGGGCGGCGACACTAAAATCAGCTTCTCCTGCATTTGGACCACGTAGGGGCCGCATTTGGCCCATCCTCCTGCTCCTCCTCTTCCCTCCTGTTTCCCTCTCTTCCTCCTCGTTCTTCTAGTCCCCGCGCATCCACCCCAAATCTGGTCCAAGTCTGGTCCAAATTTGATCCAAATCCGGCGCGCAATCAGGCCCAAATCGGACAGCGCCGGGGGCCACGCAGGCTCCCATGGATCAAGCAGTGGCGAAGCGTCCCGGCTCTCGCCTATAGCCCCACCAAACAATGTTCTAAGAACTTATTGTGGTTCCCACGAACTGTTCTTGTAAACATTTGTGGATGGGACCGTCTTGTTTTAACACATCGGGCTTATGCTCTAAGAACACTGTTTTTGCTCTCAGAACATTTCTGGGTGCTAAGAACATCTCGTGGTAGGACTATAGGAATGCGGGGACGGTCGGTCCCTGCTCCCATGGAGCGGACAACAAGGAGGAGGAGGAGGCGGAAGCACAGAAGGGGATAGGCACGGGAGGAGGAGGGGGAGAGGAGGAGGAGGAGAGGAGGAGGAGGAGGAGACGAGGAGGAGACGAGGAGGAGGAGGAGGAGGAGGAGGAGGAGGAGGGGGAGGAGGACGAGGAGGAGGGAGGCGGAGAACGGGGAGGAGCAGGCGCCAAGGTCCTCGGAGGCTTCTGGCCCACCTCCGCGGCCGGGTGCGAGGAGGAGCACGGGGAGGCACGGCGTCCGCATGCGCCCTCCCTCGTCTGCCGGTCGTCCGTGCCCCGGCGCCACCATCGGTTCGCGATGGGGACACGATCAGGTCGGGCCTGTCCCCCTACAGGGGGACTTTGACGAAAAATGTTCAAAATATTCAGAGAGACCCAGAAATGTTCAAAAAGTCCCCCTACACCATCTGTTTCGGAGGTGGACAGACCTCCTGCCCTGACACGTCGATTAGGGAATCGGCCGTCTTTGGATCGCGAGAGGGCGTCGCGGCCGTCATCTTTGCGGGTATAGGTCCGTCGGTTTCGGTCCCAGGCCGTTTTCACTACGGGGAGGTGCGCTAAAGGGAGGTTTGTCCACCGCCGACTGTTCGCGATGGGGAAACGATTAGGTCAGGCCTGTCCCCCTACAGGGGGACTATCTGGACGAAGAATTAGAAATACCCCAACAATGTTCGAAAGATGCAAAAAATATTCAAGAAATGGTGCCCATACTATTTTTTGACAATTTTTGAATATTCCCCCTGTAGAGGGACAGGCCCGACTTAAGGAAACGACTCCTGGGGTCCACCAGAGATTTCCGGGGACGTCCGTCACTTTTTAAGTCTGGGCCCGCAGGGCATATTTTGGCGCGCAGTGTATTGCGCATTGTGTTCCAACAGGGATGATTGGGCTTGCATAGAGCGGACAACATGATGGCCCCCCCGCCGTGCCTGTCAACAAAAAATAATGCACGGTGCTGAAAGCGCCCGATCACGGTGCAGATTTTTCCGCTAAGCAGTGATCAAGCCCTCTCCGAAGGGGGAGAGGGGTTTCTGGAAAAAACTTTGTCGTCAGGCGAGCTACGCCCAGAGGGCTGGTGGGATTAGAAGTGAAGCTCCAGTAAGTTTCGATCAGAGTTGCGGACGCTGCCGATCCTATCGTAGCCAAAGGCTGGTAGAATGTTGTTCGACGTGTTGCTCCAGTGAGCTTCTGCAAGGTTTGAGCCAACTCCAGACGAAACTCACTCCTCCGTTCTCCGCCCCCTTCTTCACCCCTCCACGGGGTCTGACGCCGAGAGCACTCGCCCATCTGCTCCTGCGGTCCCTCTCCGGCTTCTCTCTCCCTCCCTCTCATCTTTCCGCCGCCACTTCAGCTCAAACTGTTTTGGCCCTGATGAGCTCGCGTGCACGAAACTGGGTTCCAGGCATGGGCAACATCATGGGACGCTGGCGCTTGCCAGCAGAGATGGCGTTCCACGACATCACGGCTTGCGCGGACGATGTGCCCACGGACGCGGCCCCGGGGGCCCCGGGGCGGCCGACTCTGCCGCGCGCGACGGCAGGTAGGACCGCTGCGCAGGGCGCTTGCTACAAGCGCCGGCGGTCGTTCCCCGTGTCGGCAGAGGACTGCACCTCTGCGTCGTCCTTCTGCGTTGCGGTGGAGCCGGAGAAGGACAGCCCGCTACGTATCCAGTTGCCTGCAGCAAACCCCGCCACCGCGCTTGTGCAACAGCGCAGCGTGAAGCAGGTTGAAGTATCGACGCATGTTGGGGCTTCCCTGGGGCCTCTTGAGGGCCTATCGGGAGCCTTTGAGGTTTGTTTCGGAGGCGTCTTGGTGGCCTCTCAGGGGCCTCTTGGGGGGCAAGGGTGGTCTTGGAGGCAATCCTGTAGGAGAAGGCTGTCAAGACCAGCTCGACTTCCGCCTCATGGGGCCTTTGGGGGGGCCATTGGGCTGTCTTGGACCCCCCGTGAGCCGTCTTGGTGCCCCCTGGGGCCGTCTTAAAGACCATCTTGGGCCGTCTTCGAGCTCCCCTTGGGCCGTCTCCGGGACCTTTTAGGTCGTCTTCGGTTTCCGGAAGCCAGACAGGGCCAGTACTATATGCTTAAATGCGTCAAAACCATGATGAGCATCAAGGTGCTTCGTTTCGCGAGTTCCTTTGGGGCGTCCTCTTTGGAGCCCTCTCGTGCCTTGTGCCGCCGTGGGGGCTCCGAGATTGCCTAAAGACGAGCCAGGAGGCTCCCAAGAGGGCCCCAAGACGGCCCAAGAGAGCTCCAAGGCAGCCACAGAAAGTTCCAAGAGTAGCCGAAGAGGGCCCCGAGAGGCTCCAAAGAAAGCCCAAGAGGGCCATAGGAGGCCCCAAAGGGTCCCCAAGTTGGCCCCGAGACGGCCCAAGAGCCCCCCCAAGGCGGCCCAAGAGGCCCCCAGGATTGCCCAAATGTTCCCAGGAGGACACCCAGGACTGCCTGAGAAGGCAAAGCACATGGATTGTCCGTTACTTGTTGTTTTCTAGGCTTTCGCTTTCTTGGGCCCAGATCGGCCGAAGGCGGTTCTTACAGCCTCCGAGATTGCCCAGGGGGCTCAGGTGGGCCCCAAGAGGCTCCCAAGAGAGCCCCAGAGTGCCGTGGAAGAGGGCCGAAGAGGGCCCCAAGAAGAGCCGTGCCCCCCGAGACGGACCAAGAGAGCCCCAGAACTGCCCAAGAGGGTCCGAAGACGTTGACAAGGGCCCCCAGAAGACTCCCCTTTGACGGTTCAGTGATGGACGCAGCTTTGACGCCAAGGCTCTCCAAAGCATTGGGTGGTTGAGAATGCCTTTTGACACGAGTTGGTGACGTAAGGGGATATGAACGCCAAGGGTCCTAAGAGCGAGCAGCGGCGCTGAAATCTCTTCACGCGCAGGCGTGTCAGATCGATCGTTTAGGTCAACAACTCTTCACGCCAAGACTCCCAAGAGCGAACGGTGACTTAAACAGATCTTAACTCCCAGGCCCCTCAGAGCGAACGATGACGCAAACAACTCTTCACACCAAGGCTCCCCAAAGCGAACGATGACGTGAAACAGCTCTTCATACCAAAGCTCCCAAGAGCGAACCGTGACTTAAACAGCTCTTAATCCCCAGACTCCCGAGAGCCAACGGTGACGTAAGCAACTCTTCAAACCAGCACTCCCAAGAGCGAACGGTGAGTGAAAAAGCTCCTCACACCAAGGCTCCCAAGAGCCAATTGTGACATGAAAAAGCTCTTTTCACACTCCGGCTCCCAAGAGCGAACGGTCACGTGAAGAAGCTCTGAACGCCAAGGCTTCCAAGATCGAGCGGTGCCATGAACCCTCTCGGGCAAGTTCCGGAAGCTTTCTTTCCGTTCCCGTGCCAGCCCATGCTCTGACACGCACGCTCCGTGCAGGCACGGCGGCGGTTCTCCGTGGCGGGCACGAAGTCGATGCTGTCCATCCCCGAGGAGGGCGCGCTGGCGTGGTGCACGAGGCCCGCCTCCGAAGCCCCGCAGGACTGCCGCAGGGAGCTGAGGAAGATCCGGCGCCAGCACTCCCTGGGGAGCCCCGCGGAGCTCCGCGAGGTGCCGCTCGCAGGCAGCGCCAGCGCACCGCCCGAGGCCGCCGCCTCCTCGTCGTCCTCCTCCGAGGCATTTGGAGAGAGGGTGACCTGGGTCGTCATCGGAGCGGTGACGGAAATCTATGGCTGAGCATGTTCTTTCTTAGGTTTCCGAGCGCGTTCTAGTTACTCGCAAAGCGCCCACTCGCAAGCGTCCGAAGAACACATGTCCGCCTCGACGTAATCCATCGTAGATCCCCCGCGGCGGGTCCAGGCCATTTGCGAGTCGTTACTTTGCGAGTAGTGGAACGCGCTTGTCTATCTGGGCTCCACCTGCCCATTCTGTCGCCCCAACAAAGCCCTGCTGATCAGGGCCTCTTGGCCCCTGGCTGTCCCGCTCGGACGGTGTGCATTGTTTCTCGGCGAGGACGATCGAGGAGCATTCGAGGCCATCTTGCGCAAAACACGCGCGGAACCGAAACGTGCACGGGGAATGAGTGGACGTCCGAGCGAGGGCAAGGCCCCCGCTGCCCGAGCTCGGCGCCGAGCCAGGGGTGGCGCGCTGCATGTGCCCCCGCCGCTCCCGCTCCCGCGCGGGCGCCTGCCGCCTCCACCGTCGCCGGCAGTGGCGTCGTCGTTCGTGTTGCCCCCATGGAGTAGGCTCTTTTTGGGCGCCTGTTTCGAGCAGGTGGAGTCCCTCCCCCAGAGGACGCACGGTTCCAAACGGTGGCATCGAGCAGAGGTCCGGAGCCAGACCCCCCCCCCCTCCGGCCCCCCTCCGCCCAGTGTCGAAAGGCCGAAGGAGAGGACGGTCACGTGATGCATCCTTCTGTCCGTCGCCGTCGTCGTGTCGTTTGCCGGCCTCGCCGCCACCACCGTCGCCGCGGGCACCTGCCGCCACCACCGTCGCCGTCGTCGGCGGCGGCGTCGTCGTGCGTGCTGCGTGCTGCTGCGTCCGTCTGTCCGTCGCCGTCGTCGTGTCGTTTGCCGTCCTCGCCGCCGCCGTTCGTCGTCGCCGCCGTCATCGACGGCCTGCTTCTCCCCGCGGGCTTCGTGCCCCTCCGCGGGCGCGCGAGGGGCCAACTCGGGTTCAAGTCGAGCCTGGTCCTCTCTCTACAGGAGGAATATGGAGCAATTGTCAAAAAATAGTCTGGGGACGATTTCTTGCTTTTTTCTTAAAAAAAGGAAAAAACACAAACAAACAATTTTTGGAAATATTTAACTATTGCAAAAATCGTCCGGAATCCGCCTGTAGGGCGACCTAAACTTAGGTCGGCGGCGAGCGGTGGGATGGGGAGTGGGAAGGAGAAGGCTCTCTCAGAAGGCGGCGGGGCGTCTCAGAAGCCCTGCGGCCTGAGAGGTTTCCACTGTCTTCGGGGAAGGCTCAGAAAACTTCTCCAAAGGCCAGGGCACTCCCGAGCCTTCTGAGGAGGCCCGTCCCTTCTCGGACACCTGGTGGTTTTTTGGTCACAACTCGGCTCTCCGATGTCCTTTCGGCGCGATCCGGGCACCCCCGGAACGCCCTCGGCGAGGCTGGATGCATCCCGAGGCTTGGAAGCCGCCGAGCACCGACGACGACCCCCGAGAATCACGAACCCGAAGCTCCCGAAACTTCCCCTCTTCTGTGAAGGCCCGCCCCTTCTTACAGTCAACCCGCATAGTATTAAGTTGGGCGTGTCCCTCTACAGAAGGAGTATTCAAATATAGTCAAAAACTAGTCTGGGGATTATCTTTTTACAGTTTTTGATTGTTGTTTCAATGTGTTTTTGGTATTTTCAATGTTTCGCCCCAGAATCGCTTGTAGGGGGACATGCCCGACCTAAGCATAGTAAGGATGAGCAACTTTCCAAGATTAACTTTGCATCCTTCCCCTTCGGCCCATCCTTGACCGCTTTCGCTGGCCGCGCCCCGCTCGCCAAAAGTGTCGGCGTGGCCTTCCAAGGCCCTTGCATCCTCATCGTGGGTCCTTCTTATACGGGCTGACTGTACTTCCCCCCGGGCTGGCCGCCGAAGCTTACAGTCTATCTGTGTAATGAGTACGCACGATAAGGATGCAAGGGCCTTGGAAGGCCATGCCGGCAGCTTTCCAGCGGGCGCGGCCAGCGAAAGTTGCCGAGGATGAGCCGAAGGGGCAAGGATGCAATGGTAATCTTGGAAAGTCGCTCATCCTTAACCGTCGGTCGCTGAACGTATAGATTTCTGATGCCCAGATCCCACTCTTTTTTAGCCGCCTTCCCACTTCAAGAGTGGAGCGCTGTTCCCTCTTTCCTCCTCTTCCAGGGGTGGGCGGAAACCCAATCCACTTCCAACGCCTCCCTGCAGTGGAAACCCATGCCAAGAAACACTCTGCTTGCCTCCAGGGTGCCCTGGGTTTCTTCGGCTTCGATGGTTGTGCTATGGAGAGCGAGACGTTCCCACACCAAGAATCAATGGATGCCCTGGGGTCTCAGAGATGGGTTTCTTGTGGAAGGTTTCTCGCGGACGAGCTCCTACTGCATTTCATTGCTCAGGAAGGAAAACACGCAGACAATCACATATGGACTTCCAAGAACACATGGGAACATATGTGAAGTGCGGGGGAAGACGATAATCAAGTAGATAGGGAAACATATAGGGAATCCTGGGATTTGTGTGTATTTGCTTGTGTGCTCCTGGGCCCCTTCAATGGGTATATCTACATGGCTCGATCTACGTCGTGTGTACCTCATTGTGTGCGATCTACGTCGTGCTCAATCTACGCCGTGTTCGATCTACGTCGATCTACGTTGTTGTATTTCTTTGTGTGCACTTCAATGGTTCGATCTGCGTTTGACCGGCCGACGGTGTGCTCTGCGCAGAGACCGCCGCAGCCCCGCGGGAGTCCTCCGAGAGGCGCGCGACGGCGCCGCGGGGCGCGGGGCGGCGGCCGCGGAGGCCCGGGCGCGGGCGCACGAGGCGGAGGCGCCAGCGAGGCCGTCGTCGTCGTCGTCGTCGTCGTCGTCGTCGTCGTCGTCGTGGTCGTCGTCGTCGTCGTCGTCGTCGCCGTCGGCGTCGGCGTGGTCGTGGTCGTCGTCGTGGTCGCCGAGGTGGTCGAGGTGGTCGTGGTCGTCGTCGTCGTCCTCCTCCTCCTCCTCGTCCCCCTCCTCCTCCTACTCCTCCTCCTCCTTCTCCCCCTCCTCCTCCCCCCTCCTCCTCCTCCTCCTCCTCCTCCTCCTCCTCCTCCTCCTCCTCCTCTCCTGCTCCTCCACCTCCTCCTCTTCCCCCTCATCCTCCTCCCCCCCTCCTCCTCTTCCCCGAGGCCTCCCAGAGGGGGTCTGAGCAGATCGTGTCGGAGGACCCGGCCCGCATCGACGATGCGGCTCGATGTGGAGCCCGTGTTTCCCCACGCCGACGTCGCCGATGCATCGCTAATGCATCGCCGATACATCGGCGATGCATACATCGGCGATACGGCGCGATCCTTCGACCCCATCTACTCGGACCCCGTCTAGGAGCCCTCTCAAGTCTCGAGTATGTCTGAGCTCGGGCTTGCCGACGCTTTTTCACGAGAGCGTCCTGGATTTGGGCGGTCCAGTGTTCGTGGGATGTTCGCAGCGGGAGCTCGCGTCAAATTTCAGACCGGGTATCGTCCTTTTCATGATGGCCCCGTCATGCCAACCCGCGTCCCTCGAGCCCGAGTCTTACGTCTCCCCGATAGGAGGAGCAGCAGCAGCCCTAGGAGGAGGAGCAGAAGAAGGATCGGAGGAGGAAAAGATATACCCATACCGCTACCCTTGCTTGTTCTTGTTCCCCTTTCGGGCCTCCTGGGGGAACCTCGTCGCCTCCGCTGGATTCGCTTCGAGATCGTGGTCAGGACGCGCCCCAGGAGGTCCGTAGAGTAGCGGTATCGTTTCCTATTGTGTTTCCCCCAGCACATCAGCAGCAGGAGAAGGTGGAGGAGGAGCAGGAGCAGGAGGAGCAGCCGCAGCAGGAGCAACAGCATCAGCAGCAGGAGAAGCGGGGGACTATCGAATTAACAGTTCAATGCTGGAAACAATAACATGCAAAACCAACTGAACCCAAACCAAAACACAAAACCGCCGAACCGAACACATTGAAGACAACAGAAAAAACAGAAACGCACCAAGTCAGAAGGACAATGCAATCTATGTGAATCAGCCGAGCCCTGACCAAAACAAGAGCAGCAGCAGCAGCAGGAGGTCGCGCGGGCGAGGTCGCCGGAACGAGAGGAGACAGAGGAGGAGGTGGAGGACGAGCAGGAGGAGGAGGAGGAGGCGGAGGAGGAGGAGGGGGACGAGGAGGAGGAGGAGGAGGAGGAGGAGGAGGAGGAGGAGGAGGGAGGTGGAGGCAGCGCGGGCGAGGTCACTGCGCCTCCGCGCCCGGTGGCTGCTGCAGGCGCCTTGCGGCGCACGCGCCGGCAGCCCGCCGCGCCGCCCGCACAGCCCGCGCAGCCCCACGCGCCGCCGCGTGCAGCCCGCGTGCGGCCCGCGGTGCCCCCCTCCCCGCCTTCTCCTCCTCCTCCTCCTCCTCCCCGCTTGCGCCTCCCCCCCTTCTCCCCCTGCTCCCCCTCCCCTCCTCCTCCTCCCCCCCTCCTCTTCCTCCTCCTCCTCCTCCTCGTCCTCCTCCCCCTCCTCTTCTTCCTCCCTCTCCCCCTCCACCTCCTTCTTCTCCTCCTCCTCCCCCTCCTCCGTGGCGACGACAGGTGCCAAGGCCGCGCGGCGCCGCGGGCCCCCCGCGAGGAGCGGCGCGGCCGCGGCGGCGTCCCAGCCGCGGCGGTCGCGGCAGTCAGGGCGGCCGCGGCGTCGGAGGGCCCTCCGCGACGCCAGGAGGAGGATCGGCCAAACGTAAGGCGAGCATGTCCCTCTGCAGGGGGAGTGTGCAAAAGAGTGAACAATAGCCTGGGGGCGGTTTTTTGTTTGACCATGCGGGACCACTTGGGGGCATTTCTGGAATGTTTTTCATTGTTATTTCAAGATCCGCCTGTAGGGTGACACGCCCGACCTAGGATTAGACGTAAGTAAGGGTGACCTTTCGCCGGAGTGGCCTTTGGTGCGGGCCCACTCGGGGTCCCCCGCTCGCTCGCCGAGCGCGCTGCGAGAGTAGCGTCCTGGCGCGCTCGTGTCTGGCCCCCCCCCCCCCGCGGCCTGCAAAAATCAGGCAATCGCAAACATGGATCAAGGGGGCGTGGATTGACGACGGGTCCTGCTTCCATGGGAAATGGCGGACTTCCGCCGCCGAACTGGGCGGCACCGGCCGCATTTTGGGGAGGGCGCCTCCCCCGATCCATGGATTTGGCGACCGCGCGCCTAATCCATGGATCGCTGATCCATGTTTGCGCGCCCCCGAAACGTGTTTCCCTGGTTTCCCCTGGATTGCTCGGTCGCCCAGCTGCCCCTGCGTTCAAATCGGGCATGTCCTCAAAATTTACGCTACCGAGGAACCCCACATACTCATATTACGGCTGGGATGATGATAGCTGTAGTGAAGCATGTGAGAATGATGTTGGTGGCCGTTGCCCCGCCGATACCGTTGGTGACGCCACTCAAGAGGAGAAATTGAAGAGGAGAAACGCCGCGCCAGCCACACTTTGCCAGCCCTGTGACCTGGACGAACGGCGCGCACACTCTATGGTGTCGAGAAAGTGCCACGCCTGCTATGCCGTGGACGACCAGCGCGCATAGCGGCCGCGGTGAGGGACCACCCCCTGCGTACCCTTTCTGGCGTCGAGAAAGCGCCACGCTTGCTCTGCCCTGGACGCCCGTCGTGCATAGTGGCCGCGGTGAGGGACCAACCCGTGCGCTCACTCTATGGTGTCGAGAAAGTGCCACGCCTGCTATGCCGTGGACGACCAGCGCGCATAGCGGCCGCGGTGAGGGAACACCCCCTGCGCACCCCGTCTGGGGTCGAACGAAGGCCACGCCTGCTATGCCCTGGACGACCGTCGTGCATAGCGGCCGCGCTCAGGGACCACCTCTTGCGCAGCCCCCATGGTGTCGAGAAAGTGCCACTCCTGCCACGCGTTACGAATCCGAAACGGATAGGGAGACCACCCCCAGCGCACCCCCTGTGGTGTCGAGGAAGTGCCAAGTTTGCCACGCTTTGCGAGCCGGAAGCGGATAGAGAGACCACTCCCAGCGCACCCCCTTGTGGTGTCGAGGAAGTGCAGCGCCTGCCACGCTTTGCGAGCTTGAAATGGATAGGGAGACCATTCCCGGCGCACCCCCTTGTGGTGTCAAGGAAGTGCCACGCTTGCCGCGCTTTGCGAGCCCGAAACAGATAGGGACCCCCGGCCCCCCCCCTGTGGTGTCGAGGAAGTGCCAAGCCTGCCACGCTTTGCAAGCCTGAAGCGGATAGGGCGACCACCCCCAGCGCACCCCCTGTAGTGTCGAGGAAGTGGCACACCTGCCAGGCTTTGCGAGCCCGAAACGGATAGGGGGACCACCCCCGGCGCACCCCCTTGTGGTGTCGAGGGAGTGGCACGCTTGCCACGCTTTGCAAGACCGAAACGGATAGGGAGACCACCCCCAGCGCACCCCCTGTAGTGTCGAGGAAGTGGCACACCTGCCACGCTTTGCGGGACCGAAATGGATAGGGCAACCACCCCCAGCGCAGCCACTGTGGTGTCGAGGAAGTGCCACGCCTGCCGCGCTTCTCGAGCCCGAAACGGATAGGGAGATCACCCCCAGCGCAGCCACTGTGGTGTCGAGGAACTGCCACGCCTGCCACGCTTTGCGAGCTCGAAACGGATAGGACAACCACCCCCAGCGCAGCCACTGTGGTGTCGAGGACATGCCACGCCTGCCACGCTTTGCGAATCCGAAGCGGATAGGGAGACCACCCCCAGCGCACCCCCTGATCTGTAGAGGAAGTGCCACGCCTGCCACGCTTTGCGAGCCCGAAGCGGATTGGGAGACCACCCCCAGCGCACCCCGTTGTGGTGTCGAGGAAGTGGCACGCCTGCCACATTTTGCAAAACCGAAGCGGATAGGGAGACCTCACCCAGCGCACCCCTTGTAGTGTTGAGGATGTGGCACACTTGCCACGCTTTGCGAGCTCCAAATGGATAGCGAGACCACTCCCGGCGCACCCCCTTGTGGTGTCAAGGAAGTGCCACGCCTGCCGCGCTTTGCGAGCCCGAAACGGATAGGGAGACCACCCCCAGCGCAGCCCCTGTGGTGTCGAGGAAGTGCCACGCCTGCCACGCTTTGCGAGACCGAAGCGGATAGGGCAACCACCCCCAGCGCACCCCCTATGGTGTCGAGGGAGTGGCACGCCTGCCTCGCTTTGCGAGCCCGAAACGGATAGGGACACCACCCGTCGAGGAAGTGCCACGCCTGCCACGCTTTGCGAGCCCGAGACGGATAGGGAGACCACCCCCAGCGCACCCCTTGTGGTGCCCCTCTGGTGTCGAGAAAATGCCACGCCTGTGCTGTGCTGTGCCGAGCTGTGCTGTGCTATGCTCTGCTGTGATGAGCTGAACTGAGCTGTGCTGAGCAGTGCTGTGCTGTGCTGTGCTGTGTTGCGCTGTGTGAGAAGAGTGGGGTGTGAGGGCCGCGTGTGCGACGAGGCAGAGAAGAAAACCATAACCCCACTAAGCATGTGGGGAAGAAGAGGAGGGGAAGAGTGAGGTGTGATTGTCGCGGGTGCGGCGCGGCAGAGAAGAAAACCATAACCCCACGAAACATGTGGGGAAATAGTATGGTGACATGTTTGTTCGTGATCATTCGACTATGTTTGATTGGTTGTGGCTATTTCTGATTGATGTTCCAAAGTCCGCGCCCTTGATACAAGAAACCGCGCACCACGGGTCACGCGTTTCCCAGGGCCGCTCCCGGTGTCGCAACCTCTAGAGGAGGTGCAGCGCGAGGCCGCCACGGCCTCGCCGCGGGCGGGCGCGCGGTCCAGCCCTGCTGGGGATTGGTGGCTCGCGGACGGGCCCCACGTGCCGCTGGCGGAGGACGGCGTCGGCGGCGGCGGCGGCGGGGCGGCCTCGGCCGAAGGCGGGGGCAGAGAGAATGACACAGACTTATGATGTTCCAACATGTTTTTTGTTCCTCAAGTCGGGCCTGTCCCTCGACAGGAGGACTGTTCCAACATAGTCAACACACAGGCCGGGGACGATTCTTTTTGTTGTCGTTCCATTTGGGGGAATGTTTTGTTCCCCGATCAGAGCTTGCCTCTGTAGGGGTCCTAGCGGGTTCATATTGTTAGGTTAGGTTTGTCGCCGATTTTCGCTGCACGCCCAGGTGCGCCGGGTGCCCGGGGGTGCCCAGGGCCCGGGTGCCCAGTGGGTGCCCGGGGGGTGCCCGGGGGGGGCCCGGGTGCCCGGGCGTGCCCGGGCGTGCCCGGGGGTGCCCGGGGGTTGCCCCATAGCCCTAAGGCCTATAGCTCTATAGCCCTACTGAAAGGCTGGAACTTCTTATGCTACTTAAGCTTAGCGCTGAGTACCTCAAGTAACTTAGGCGACTTACCGTTGCAAGTTAGTGCTACTTACTAAGTTACTTACTGAGTTACTTAGGGTTTCATATCTAAGTTACTTATGTGCTTCTTATAAGTACCACTAACTTCTTTGAAGGAGGAGGGCGAGGAGGAGAGGGAAGGCGAGGGCGCGCGGCCAACTCAGCCGTTGTTCGCGGGCTTTTTCAGCGCAAGCGCGCCGCGTTCTTATCATGTTTCTTCTTCTCCTTCTCCTTATTATCCTTCTTTTTCTTCTGTTGCCTCTCCTCCTCGCGCCGCGTCGCCGCCTCCAGCGCCGCCAGCGCCGCGTCGCGCTCCTGGAGCGCGATCTCCAGCTCGCGCTCGGCCTCGTTCGGCCACTGGTCCAGGTCGCGGACCTGCTGCAGCAAGCCGCGGTCGATCGCCTAGGCGAGGAGGAGGCGGGGGAGGAATAGGAGGAGGTGGAGGAGGTGGAGGAGGAGGAGGAGGAGGAGGAGGGCGAGGAGGAGGAGAGAAGGAAAAGGGGGACGACGAGGGAAAGGAGGAGCAGGGGGATGAGGGGGAGGACGAGGAGGAGGAGGGGGAGGAAGGGGGGGAGGAGGAGGGGGGGAAGAGGAGGATGGAGGAGTAGGAGGAGGAGGAGGAGAGGAGGAGGGGAGGAGGAGGGAGGAGAGGGGGAGGAGGAGGAGGAGGAGGAGGAAGGAGGCGGAGGAGGAGGAGGAATCAGAGAGCGATCGCTATCGCTGGATTGGAGGGGGGCGCGGGGCCTCCCGCACAGAACGCCGCTGCGACAGCTCGGCCCGCCGCTCGCGGTGCCGCGCGACAAGCGCGGCCAGCTGGCCCTCCATCGCAGCGGCCCGCGGAGCGCCCTGTCCTGCCCACCCCCCCTCGCCTCCTGCAACGATCGCCATCGCTATCGTGATTCCTCCCCTTTCTCCTCATCCTTCCCTCGTCGCAGTCCTCCTCCTGCGCCTCCTATGGCGGTCGCCGCCGCTCCGCCCAGGCGATCGCCGTCGCCCCCGCCATCGTTCAAGCGATCACCATCGCTCCGCTCCATATCGCGCATATCCTCTCATTCCCCCCCCCCCGTAAGCGGTCGCCGCCGATCCGCCCAAGCGATCCCCATCGCTCGCCCCTCGCCCTCCTCCTCTTCCTCCGCTTCCCTCCTTCTCCCCCTCCTCCTACTCCTCCCCTCCCCCCCCTCCTCCTCCTCCTCGAGCGGTCGTCGCCGCTCCGCCCATGCGATCCATCCATCGCTCGATCCTCATCCCTCCCCCCCCCCCCTCCCCCCCCCCCATCCCCGCCCCCCCCCTCCTCCTCCGCCTCCTCCCCCCGCCGCCCCCATCCCCCCTCCTTCTCAGATCCCCCCTTCACTTAAAGCGGTCGCCACCGCTCCGCTCAAGCGATCATCGTCGCTTCCCCCGCTCTCATCAGCCTCCTGCGCATCAACGGCGCGGCGCGCCCTACCTCTTGCGCAAGCGCCGCGCCCAAACCGACGCCGTCAGGCCGGCGTCGGCAAGCTTGATCGCGAGGAGCTCGTTGATCACGCGGCCAGCGTTGACGCCGCTCCCGCGCGCGTGGATCTCGATCCCGCGCGCAACGATGCGCCAGTCGCCTGAAATGGCGGCGCGCGCGTCCACGACGAAGCGCTCGCCGCCGCGTGAGCGAACGATCTCGCCTGCTTTGAACTGGGCCCCCTCCCAGCGCAGCGACAGCGCCGTGGAGACCTCGATTGCCCCGATCGCGGAGCGCAGCTCTGGCGAGTCAACCATCGGCGGCGCCGGCGTGTTGCCAGACGGCCCCATGCCCCTGAGCATCCGCAACTGGTGCAGGACGGCGGCCCCGAGGACCGCGCGCTCGAAATTGGAGCAGTTCGTCGCGGACTCGGCGATGCCCTTCGCCACCTTGTTGCGCCGCTCAGTGACGAAGCAGTCGAGCTGCTTGGGCTCCTGGTCAGCGCCGTGGCGTTCGATTGCGACGGGTGCTGCTCAAACGCAGCGCCCGCGGGGGGGGGGGGGGGGGTGCGCTTTGGGGGGGTCCTGCGCCGCGTTGTGCAACGCGTAGTGGTGCGTCGGCTTGACGAAGCGGGAGCCGTGCACCCGCTGGTGGAGGTCAAAATGGACCTCTGCCAGCGCGATGAACTCCTCCTTGGTTGGGGCGGGAAGCCCGCGCTCGGCCCGTGGGAGTGCGTCCGCCATCAGGCAGCACGCGCGGAATGAATCGAGCTCGCGCTCGAGCGACGGAATGTCGGCGACGCGCTCCTCGGCGCGCGCCATCAGGATGTGCAACAGGGAGATCAGCTCGCTTGCGCCAGATTTGAACGACATTTTGCACGCGGTTTCGCGCCCAGCCGTGAACGCATGCCGCGTCGCCGACGAGCCGCCAGCGCACGACCAGCAACGCGCGTGCTTGCGCCAGTCGGCGAACGACATGCCAGCCTTCCTTTTGCACGCGTCCAGGAGAGCGAACACTTCCCAACCGATGATGCCATTGCTCCAGAGGTTGTGTATTGAGTCGTGCATCAACGATGACGGTCGCACCGAGCTCCGCAGCTCGCGATCGTCAAGCAGCGCATTAGGGTGGTAGTTGATCCCGCTGGCGACCTCGAGCTTCTCGAACTCGGCCGCTGACAGGTGGCCAGCCTGCGCGGCGAGCTCGTCCCAGAGCCCCCGCGCCTCGTCGTCCGACTGCGCGTCGAAACGCGCGAAGTCGCGGCAGCAAATGTCGACGAAATAGTTGTCGACGTCGCCCGCGACGCGGGCTCCTTCTCTGATGGCGTTCTTGCGTCGCATGCACGGCCGCCAACCGTTGGCACCTTTCATGCTGAATACTCCCTTGTGGGCGTCCATGTCGGCGAGGATCTTGCACTTGCGCGCCCGAATCAGCGCCGAGGTGCCGCCGGCCAAGGGCGCGCGCTCGCCAGCAGTGGCCAGCCCGCTTGGAGCGAGGAATATATTCCTCAGGAGGGGCCGAACGACGCAGCTGATGCCGCCGTTCACGCCGTCGGCGGCCTTCGAGCGCAGGGCGTCACATGGAAGCCACGACTCTTGCCCGTGTAGCATGTCGGAACCAAACTCCAGGAAGCTGAAGAATATCATCCAGAATTTTCGGTCGCGCCGCGGCGCCAGCGCGTCGCCTGGCGTGATCTCGTCCATGTATAACACCAGTGTGAGCGGTATGCCACCTTAAACCGCCCGCTCGATAACCGCCGCGCATTCGGAGCTCTCTCGGCGCACGTGCCGCAACAAGTTGCCGACGCTACCGACGTGCCAGTTGAACGGTTTCCCAGCCTTGTCGGCCATTGGGGGCTCGATCGACGTGCCGACGGCGTCGTAAGCCTCGGCAGCGGCGGAACTGACCGCATTGCGAGATATCGATGCAGCACGATCTGGGCCATCCGCGAATTGCTTCGCGAGGCGCACGAGCGCCCTGGCAGTGGTGCCTGGCACGGCGACGAGCTCGCCCAATCGGCGACGCTTGGCGGCGCGCTCGCCTGGCCGCGCGGCCGAGGCAACCACGCGGCGCGCGTGTGCGCGCCGATATTGGGCCGACGCTGCTCTATGACTGACCATGCGCCCAGTCTCCCAGTCTCGAAAGCGATCGTCATCGCTGGCAACACTTTCCGTCCTCCTCATCCCCCTCCGCCGTCTCGGCATCATCCTCATCATCATCGCCCTACTTCTCGTTCCAACCACCGCTCATCACCCCGCCCCAAGCGATCGCCATCGCTGAACATTTTGATCCCCGCGCTGCTTCTCATCATAGCGATCGCCATCGCTGCCATCCCTCCCGCAGCGATCAGCATCGCTACCCTCCGCCCCACAGCGATCGTCATCGCTATAGGTCACTCGCCCACCCGCTTCCGCCACCTCCACGACTGCACCACCCGCAACCAGCGATTGACATTGATATCACCGTTTTGCTTGTGCAAGCCACAGCCGCTGCGCGATCAACGCGCAGTCGGTGGGAGAGGGGCAGCGCGCGTCACCGCGCGCCTCGCCCGCGCCTGGAACGCGGCGCCGCGCAAATGCGCTGCGCCGCGCGGAAGCGATGTGCCGCGCGGCGGGTGGTCGCCGCGCGGAAATAATGCGCCGCGCGGCGGGTGGCAGGGGAGGCGCCTCACCCTTCTCACGTGCATCATCCTCGCCATTCCCCCCCGTCGCGATGCGCCTCGCCCGCGCCATGGCACGGCGCGGCGCAAATGCGCGGCGCCGCGCGGAAAGGCATCTTTGCTGGGGGGCATATTCGCAGCAAGGAACAAGGCACATGGCTGGTGTACGCCAGCGGTGGCAGCTGCATTCTCTGGCTGCGCAAGCTCCAGCAGAATGCAACTGGACGCCTGCAAGCAAACATAAATCTCAACAGCTCAAAATAACCCAGCCTGCGGCTGGGCGAATACAGCTCAACAAAATAAAGCTGTCTGACTGCGCAAGCTCATCAGGCGTCGCGCCTGGATCAGACGGCAGGCTGCTGCGTCTCTGCCAAGGCGTGCGGCTGCGGTGCGCGCGGTGGTGGGCAGGGCGCGCCACCGCCCTCAATCCCCCCACCATGGCCATGGCGGGGAAAGACGCTAAGGCACCACGTGGCCGACAGCGCCGCTACCTGCAGCGACTCCTGGCGATGCGTGGCTGCGCTAAGGCCACGCCAATGGCGCCCAGACCATGCCTACTTCATCTTCTGGGTGCTCTTGCGCATCGTGCTCACGAGCACGCCCTGTGCAGTCGCCGTGTTGGCGATGTCGTTCACTTCGGTCGCCGTCCACGTGAACTTGGATAGGCCCCGGCGCCTGGAGGCAATCTCCGAGCTCGCCCTTAGAATGGCCGGCAACGTCTGCAACTTGTCGGTCGCGTTCTTTTTGACGGCATCGGGGAGCTTGCCGAACCCGTCGGATTCAATGGCTGTTTCCAGCTTCTGGTGCGGGACCATCGGCTTCGCCTGCAGGAGGAGAAGGATGCCGAGCAGTGCTTGAGGGTGGGATGGAGGAGGATCGGGGGGTAAGAGGGTGATGATAAGCACCTGCGCCCGCGTCGCTAGGAGCATCTTGGCTGCCTTCTCCTTCCCCGCCTTCTTCAACGTGTCCATCCTCTCTTTGGGGCTCTCCCTCTCAGCCGTCTCGCGGGTCTTCCTCTCTTGGGCGGTCTCGTGCGACGGCGGCAGCTCTGGGGAGTCGCTGTCGGCGTTGCTGTCGCAGCCGCTGCTGGTGGGGAGCGGCTTCGTGTGCTTCTTGTGAGCATTGCCCTTATCATGGGCGTCGGCGTCGCGGTGATTATTCTCCTTAGTGCTGGCGGCTCTCTTCTTCTCAGCGGCCTTGCCCTTGGCCTTGCCGTTGCTGCTCGCGTGGGTGGACGTGTCTTTGGCGCGGCCCGCGCTGCTCTTATCAAGGCGCGCGGCCTTGCTGCTGGTGCCCTTGTCCATGTGTGTGTCCTTGCTGCTTCTGCCCTTGTCCGCGTGCGCGGCCTTGTCTTTAGGGCGCTTCAGTGCTGCTCTGATCATCGCATCGCTCGATAGCTTTGTTTTGCCGCCGTGCTTGCTGACCTTCGCATCGCCGTCCTTGCGATGCTTCTTATCTCTGCGCGTGGTACTGATGCGCTCAATGTCGTCATCGCCGCGCAGCTCGCCCTTGAGTGAGACCTTCTTGGTGCCGGCCTTGCGGCGACGCTTTGCCTTGATGGGTGGCGTCGGTGGCTCGTGAGCGATCGTGATCATCATCGCTGCCGCTGCCGCTGGGCGACGCAGGTGAATCACTGATCACCTCGTCGCGTTCGCCGCCCTCCTCCTCCTCGCCGCCTTCGCACTCCTCCTCGCATTCCTCGAAGTCGGCGTTGTCGACGTCGTCGGCCCCCTCGCTGCTCTCGCGGTCACCGTCCGCTGCAAAGTCACCGCCGCTCGCGTCGACGCCCTTCGCGGACTCCTCCTGGTCCTTTCTGCCCACTTGTTGCTCCCGGCGCTCTATTTCATGAATTTCAACGCGGTAGCACTTGCCCAGCGCGTGGTGCTGAACCACGTCCGTGCACGTGGATTTGATGCGGCGCCACGGGAACCCTTGTTTCTTGTACAACGTCAATGGGTAATAGCCGCCTTTCTTGCCGTGCCGCTGCTCCTTCTCCGCGAGCGCCTGCAGCGTGAAGCTCTTCTGCAACTCAAACTTCTTCGCGCATTCCTGCAGGCCGCTCCAGAAGGCCTTCCGCTCGTGATCATTGAAACGCAGCAGCCGCGCCTTCATCGCACACCGCTCTTCGCAACAAGCGACTTGGACGCCGCGCGACGATCGCAACTTGCACCTGAAGACCTGCCCCTTCTTCGTGACCCGCATGGGATACGACGATATCACGTCGCACGGCTGGCCGCACCGATCGCAGTGGAACGTGTCGTCGAGAGAATCCAGGCCCAGCTCGCGCTGGTCGCTCAGGCGGCCCCTTCTGCGGGCTCGATAGCGCCGCGAAGCCCCCCGCCACGAACCTCTGTGGAGAGGTGCAGTCCTCGCCCCACCCCGTCTTGCTGGGCGTAGCCGTCCCCGAACTCGCAGCAGTCGAGTCCGCCTGCGGCGGTCGGGCTGGCACCTTCTGGATCCACTTGCCGATGTCCGCGTAGCCAGCCATGGCCTTGCCCGCGGCCTTGGGCACAGGCGCTGCCGCACTCGCCACTGCTGCCTTGGTCACGGGCGCTGCAGCTTTGACCGACTTGGTCCTGGGGGGCACAAGCGCTGCCGCACTCGCCGGCTTGGCCCTGGGTGGCACAGGCGCTGCCGCGGCCGTCGCCTTGGCCGTGGCCTTCTTGGGCGGTGGCTTCGGCGCCGACATGGCTTTGCCCTTAGCCTTGCCCTTCGCCGCGTGCTGGGCCGCCGCATCTGCAGCCTTCGCCTTCCCCCTGGCCTTCTTCGGCGGCCGCGCCCCCTTCATGGGCGCACTCGGCGTCGCCGTCGGTGGCGTCGCGGCGTCGCCCACGATGCTTGCAGCGGCCGCGGCGCCGCCCACGCTGCCTGCGTCGACCGCGGCATCGCCCGCGCAACCTGCCGCCGCGGCGTCGCACGTCGCGCTGCCTGCCGCCGCGGCGTCACCCGCGCTGCCTGCCTCCGCGGCGTCGCCCCCCTCGGCGTCGCCAACCGCTGCGTCGCCCCCCTCGGCGCCGCCCGTCGCGGCGCCGCCTCCCTCGGCGCCGCCCGCCGCGGCGTCGCTTGCCTGCCCGTTGCCCAAGCCGAGGTCGGCAATCATAGCAGCGTGCAAGCTATCATCGTTCGGCCCCGCTAGCTTCAGCGTCGCCTCGCTGTCGCAGTCGCGTTCGTCCTTGGCCTGGGCGGCGCCCGTCGCGGCGGACGTGGCGCGCGGGTCCCGGGAGCGGCGCGCGGCGCGCAAGCCCCGCGATCGGGGGGGGGCGTTCTCGTCGCACGGACGAGCACCAAGCTCGCCCGCTCGATCTACAACAGCAAATGCGCCACATCAACAACCACGAGCGTTATGAACAAGCGGTCAACATCGCTAAGTCACTTACCGCGCCTAAGTATGATAAGTACGGTGAGTTCCACACGATGTTTTTTATAGTATCTTGTGTTATCATATGTTATCCTGGGACTTCTGACACCAGGATAACAAAATATAGCAGGTTATCCTAAAAGATATCATGGTTTGTCATGTTATCTTGGGTGTGCTACCTTACAAGATAACATGTTATCCTTTATGATAACATGTTATCATATGTTTTTTCTGTTATCCTCGCACCCGAAATTCCAGGATACCAGAAGATATAACAATATAGCAAAACAATATATCAAGATGATAACATTGTGAGGAACTTATGATACTTGTTGTACTTACCAGGGCCCTAGGTACACTTACTCCGATCACCACCACCGCCATCTCGCAATCTCGCTCCCCCGACCTCATCATCATTCCCACGAGCGATCGCCATCGCTTACGCTCGCGGGCGATCGTCATCGCCACACCACCCCCCTCAACATCACTCACCGTCGCCCCTCTCGAGCGATCGACATCGCTACGCCCTCCCATCCGCATCCCTCACCGCCGCCCCGCCCAAGCGATCGACATCGCTAGCCCAATTGGCGGTCGCCGCTTACCCAAGCGATCGGCATCGCCGCGCAATCCCCACCCAATATCCATCGTCACCCCCCCCCCCCCCCCCCCCCACCCACAAAGCGATCGGCATCGCTAACCCAATTGGCGGTCATCGCTTACCCAAGCGATCGGCATCGCCACGCCCCCCCCCCCCCCCCGTCACCGCCCCCCCCCAAGCGATCGACGTCGCTAATCCAAGCGATGGGCATTGTTACCCCAAGCGATTGCCATCGCTTACGCAACCGATCAACATCGCTACATCCCCCCATCCCCCAAACATCCCGCGCCGCCGCTCCGACCAAGCGATCGACATCGCTATCTCAAGCGATAGGCATCGCTAACCCACGCGCTCGACATCAAAGCGATCGTCACCTCTTCCCCTCGCGACGCCTTTTGCCAACGATAGGCCGCGCGGCCACCGCGTCACCGCGGCGGCGGGCGCGGGGCGGCGCGGCGCCGCAAGGCCGCGTCACCGCGTCACCGCGGCGGCGGGCGCGGGGCGGCGCGGTGCCGCAAGGGGTCGCCGCGGCGGGGCGGCGGGCGGCCGCGGCGACGGGCGCGGCGGGGCGCGGGGGCGGCGGGGGTCGCCGCGGCGGGCGCGGCGGGGCCAGCGGCGCCTGGCGCCGCGGCGGGGGCCGCCGCGGCGGGCGCGGCGGGGGCCAGCGGCGGCGGGCGGGCGCGGCCGCGGCAGCGCTGCCAGCGCTGCGGGGCGGCGGCGCGGGGAGGCAGCCTGGTGACAGTTGAGAGCCGAACGACTACCTGCTGGATGCATGGATGCCGACTGGCTAGCCACTTGGTGCCACCACCAGCTAACCATTCAGCTTCCTGGTGTCCATCAGTGAATCGATCTGCCCCCAACTGCGGTGCAACCTCAGAGGCCGCGCGGCCGCGTCGCCTGCTCGACGTCGGCGCGCGCCGGCGCCAGGCTCGCCGCCTCGCGCTGGAACGCGGCCGCGGCTGTGCTGCAGACGTCCGCCGCCGTCCCCGTGCAGCTCTCGGCCCTCCTGATGTGGTCCACGATCTGCTTGGCAGCGCCCATGGACAGCGTCGCCGTCGTCGCGCTCACGGACAGCGGCGCCATCGGCGCCATGGCCCCCTTGAGGATGGTGACCGCGTTGGGCGCCGGCGGCGAAGAGGCCGCAGCAGAGCCCGCAGCCACGACGCCCGCCACCGCCATCATCGTCTCCATGAGAGACTCCGCAGTCTCGTGGAGGGAGCGGACCTGGTCGGCGGCGGCGGCGGGCGGCGGCGCCGAGGGCGCAGACTTGGCGCGGAGGCCGCCGCCGCCAGCGACGACGCCTCGGCGGGCGGCGGCGGCGAGCGAGGTCGGCTCGCCCCTGAGCTTCGGCGAACGCGGGACGCGGGCCGCTGGCGGCGGGCTGGCCTCCTCGCGCTTGGCGCGGCTGGCGCGGCGGCGGCGCTTGCGCGACCGCGACCGCGACTCGCGCGACTGCCCGCGACTCGCGGAGGTGGTTGCTGCTGCTGCTGCTGCGCCTGCTGCGTCTGCTGCTGATGCTGCGCCTGCCTCAGCCAGCTTCCTGGCCTCCCACGCGCGCCGCTCGTCGACCTCCTCGGGGTCGAGGGGAGTGGCGGTCGACGTGACCACCATCTCGGCCCGCTGCCATTGTTCGATGGGCACATGGCTCTCAGCGGTCGTGTTCTTCAGGTGCTCCTCGTACCGCGTGTAGCACTCCTGTGGCGTCTGCTTGAAGCACTTCTTTGTGCAGCCTGGGACCGCGCACCCGAGGCGGTACCACTCGCCCTGCGCCGACATGGTGCTTCTGCTGGAGCTGCTGTCGCTGCTGCTGCAGCGATGCTGCTGCTGCTGCTGATGTCGGTGCTGCCGACGGTGGTGTTGGCAGCTGCTGCTGCTGCTGCTGCTGCTGCTGCCGCGGCTGCCGCCGCCGCTGCTGGCGCCGCCCGCCGCAGGCCGCGACGTCGCCCGCCGCCCGCCGCGGGCCGCGACGCCGCCCGCTGCAGGCCGCGCGCGGGGACAGAGCCAACCGCGGCAATGGCATGCTGCGCGTTCGAACCATGCCCACACATTGAAAGCGATCGAAATCGCTATCCTATACACGTGCAGCCCACCCCCACGCGATCGCAATCGCACATGGCGCCCTCCAACGTCCCCCTCAAGCCCCTCAGGCCGCGATCAGAATCGCTGCCGCCAACTCGTTCAGACCGCCCTTCCCCCCGAGCGATCGAAATCGCTCGTCGCCAACCATCGCGCGATCGCTTCGCCCCCCCATCAACGATCGGGGTCGTTTTTACATCTGCCCTCCCAACAATTGGACTGCTCCCACCCCCCAGGCACCAGACCCGCCCACCGTCGCTAACGCCGTCGCCGCGTTCGCCGCCGCCGTCGCCGCCGCCGCCGCCGACCGTGCGCAGCCGTCTCTGTGCGCGCTCACAAGCGCGAAGTCAAGCGATGATAGGCGACGCGCCGCCGCCGCGACGCTCACGAGCACGGCGCTGCCGCAGCTGACCGCAGCGAAGCGCCGCAGCTGCCGCGAGGCGGGCGCAGCAGCGAGCGCGGCAGCGCAGCGGCTGCCGCGAAGCGCCGCAGCTGCCGAGGTGCAGCGGGCTGCGCCGCTG